GGCGCCGCTTCACCGTTCGGACAGATCACTACAGCTTGAAATACCTCCTGGACCAGCGCTTGGCCACCATTCCGCAACACCATTGGGTTGGCAAGCTGCTGGGATTCGACTTCTCCGTCGAATACAAGCCGGGTGCAACGAACGCGGTCGCCGACGCACTGTCCAGGCGCGACACAGTGGAGGGCGAGCTGCTGGCCCTCTCCTCTCCGCGCTTCGATTTCATCACCAAGCTCCGGCAAGCTCAGCTGGAACACCCGGCACTTGTTGCTCTCCAGGATGAGCTAGCAGCAGGCACCAGACCAGCCCCCTGGGCGCTGGTGGACGGCATGGTGCAGTTTGCGGGGCGGCTGTACATCCCGGCTGACTCCCCGCTGCTCCAGGAGATCGTGGGGGCCATACATGAGGACGGCCATGAAGGCGTACAGCGGACACTCCACAGGCTGCGCCGCGATTTCCATTTTCCTAACATGAAGCAAGTTGTGCAGGACCGGGTGCGTACATGTGAAGTCTGTCAACGCTACAAGTCTGAGCACCAGCACCCTGCGGGCCTCCTCCTTCCTCTGCCGGTTCCCCAGGGTGTGTGGACTGATGTCGCGCTCGACTTTGTGGAGGCGCTGCCACGAGTCCGCGGCAAGTCGGTAATCCTCACCGTGGTGGATAGGTTCAGCAAGTACTGCCATTTCATCCCATTGGCACACCCGTACTCTGCTGAATCCGTCGCCCAGGCCTTCTTCAACGACATCGTCAGGCTCCATGGTGTCCCTCAGTCCATGGTCTCCGACCGGGACACGGTGTTCACGTCGTCGTTCTGGCAGGAGCTGATGCGGTTGATGGGCACCAAGCTACAGATGACCTCGGCGTTTCACCCCCAGTCCGACGGGCAGTCCGAGTCGGCCAACCGCGTCATCATCATGTACCTCCGGTGCTTAGTGGGGGACAGGCCGCGCGAATGGCTTCGGTGGCTGCCATGGGCAGAGTACCTCTTCAACACGGCGTACCAGACGTCTTTGCGGGACACTCCCTTCCGCATTGTCTACGGGCGTGATCCTCCCTCCATCCGCTCCTATGAACCTGGGGACACCAGGGTGCCGGCCGTCGCCAAGACAATGGAGGAGCGTGCGACGTTCCTAGCGGACATCCGCTATCGCCTGGAGCAGGCACAGGCCTACCAGAAGCGCTTCTCGAAAGCGCTTTGCACCGAGAGGTCACCTATCGGTGGGTGATGGCGCCGCTTCGACTCACGTCGGCGCGGCGTCGTCTCTACCTCAAAGCGTGGTGGGCAAGTGAAGCCGCGCTTTCTTCGCCCATACCGCGTCGTCGAACTCATCAACGGGGTTGCTGTCCGGCTGGAACTACCCCCTCGCGCCCACATCCACAATGTGTTTCATGTGGGGCTGCTCAAGAAGTACCAAGGGACACCGCCGACCGAGCCTCCACAGCTGCCGCTACTTCACCATGGTGCCATTGATCCTGAGCCGGAGCGCGCGGTGCGGTACAGGCCGGCCAGGGTGTGCATCAAGCACCGGGTTCGAAGGGAAGGAGCTTCAGCCGTGTCGGCCACACAGGAAAGACGCCGCCACACTCCGCTCCAAGTTTCCCCAATTCCAGCTCGAGGACGAGCTGGCTCTCGACGGGGAGGGAGATGTCATGTTCAAACAAGTCTACACTAGGCGCCATAGGGCCCGAGATGTGCTGTGAGGGCCAGAACGCAGCCATCTTTGTCTGCATGGCCAGCACCTGGCGGGCGCCTCCAGCAGTGGCTAGGAGGGAAAGTAGGAGATCTATTAGCTATTTTGGTTAGTCCTTAATTAGTGGACTTTGTTACTCCTTTTGGTTGAGCCGGAGGCTATACATATCTTGTAACCAGACACTTGGCAATTAAGAAAGAATTACCATCTAATCTCTCTCCTCTCTCTACTACTAAGCCGGCGGCTGGGGCATAACCCACCGACGAGGAACGGCGGCAAGGGGGTATAACCCGGCCGGCCACCACGGACAGCGGCTACGATCTACGTAGCCGAGGTCCCCCTTCCCTTGGGCTCACTGCCCTTGACAGTAAGATCCATGGTACCTGAAGTTTGACGTAGCAGTTTCGTAAATCATCATGTGTCTCTAGGAAGCTTCAGTAATTTCAGGATTGCACTATAGTGTTAAGACTAACATAGGGAGAGATGGTAAGTAAGAAAGAAATGTCTGGATGAGAACAGAAATCCATCAGAAAAGCATACATGTACTTGACCAACCAGTGATAAATTCATTAATGAAGAACTGAACTTGCACGATAAATTGAAAAAGAAAGCGTGTAAACAGGAAAATAGAGCACTGCAATCAAATACAGTGAAATAAGATGTTAGCAAACTTTGGTGCAGATTTTGCCTTAATAATGCAGAGGAAGTGATCTTATAACTATAAAAGATAGCAATGGGGATATCCAAGGTGACTGGCATTGCTGCGACAGCTTTTCTTGTCACATCTGTTAGTCTGTGCCATCTGGGCATGAAAATTATTATGCTTCCTTTCCTAACCACCAGTATTGTTGCTTTTGTTATCACGGTCGCATCCCATGATGCCATCAGCCTACCATGGATCCTAGGGAAGAACTCAGTGGGAAGATTTCCATTTTGGTTAGTGTGATTCCATTAGTCTAAGTTTCAGAGCATGTTGCTTATTGTGATTCCACCATTGCAGCCTATGCGGGTAACTAGATGCCTAGATCCAGGCAGTGGTCAAGATCCATCTAATCCAAAGATTACAAATATAACAGATCAAGAATACTATAGCAACAATATATTCATGAAACATGCATATACTGATCTGAAACAAGTACCACGGGACAGAGGAAAAGCACATCATCACGTGCTGGAGTTCAAAAACAGCACGGGAGAGAGCGAGAGAGAGGGCGGGACAGGCACCGACAGATTGCTCACCTCGCTGTGAAGGTCGTGGAGGGTTCTAGACGCCGGTGACGCGGTGAAGGCGGAGATCAGCGGTGGCGGCGGGTAGAGCTCCAGGCGGCGGCTATGGCGGTGCGTGGGCTAGGGTTAGGGCTCGGGGCGGCTCCTTTAGGGTTCAAAGGGGGCGGCGCGGTGCTCTGGGCCTACTCTATATAGGGACGGGCACGGGGAACCTCGGGGCGTTCGAGGGAATCGGGCGGCGGTGGATTCACCCGGTTGATGCGGCGCAGCGGGGAAGAAGGGACCGGGTCTATCACCATTCGAGGGAATTGGGCATGCGAAGGTCGTTCGAGGGAATTGGGCCTACCCATCACGAGGTCGTGGCCCAACTAAGCCACGTGAATAAGGCAGTCAGCCATCTGCACCCTATGGATGGTTTAGTCCCACCTCGCTCGCTGACCAGCCAAGAACGCAGCATAAAAGAACAGGAGAAGTAGCAGCGATCGAACTCCTAAACTATACAATACCTACTCTCACTCGTCACCTGGGCCAATTGGGCTGGCGTGGCCTGGTTGGGCTCCCTTCGTGGTCGACCCCGACCTAACTGATGCTGGCCTGTGGCAACAAATTTTTTTGCCACCATTTATTTTAAAAAAAAATTTATATCTGCCGCTAGGGAGGCTATCACCATTCATATCCAAATTCTATGTATTTTATTTATTTTTCACCCTCCACAATCTTTTTCTCATCCATAATCCATGCTAATTGTTTTGAGTTACACTACTAATTTCTAATAAAAAGCCAGAACTTAAAAATAAGAAAAACTTGTGTTCACACTTTAAAAAACACGTGGTTAGAGTGATCGGTTCAAATTACTATCATGTTGGCCTATTAGTGCACTCGGACGACATGTGCGAGTGGCGGCTTAGTTCCTATCATGTTATGCCTAGTAGTTCATCACTCTGCAAGACATGAGACCGATCGGTTCACTTCCTATCATGTTAAGCCTATTAGTACACTCGGAGTACATGTAAGAGTGATCGGTTCACTTTGGTTCATGTTAGGCCTATCAGTCCACTCATCGAATGAGATGTGAGAGTGTAGGTTGAGTCCGCTGAGACGAATTCGAGAGTTTATATATATATATATATATATATATATATATATATATATATATATATATATATATATATATATATATATATATATCGTGCACCGTGTTTATAGCCTTGTGTTGCACGCAATTCCATCACTGTGGCGAGACATGAGAATGACCGGTTCACTTCATATCATGTAAGAGTGAACGGTTCGCTTCTTATTGCGCTAGCCTATTGTCCACTCGATGACACATGAGAGTGGCGGCTTAGTTCCTATCATGTTACGGGTACTGGTTCATCACTCTGGCGAGGCATGAGTTATCGGTTCACTCATGTTAGGCCTATTAGTACACTTGGAGTGATTGGTTCACTTCCTTTCACTTCCTTTCATGTTACACGTGAGAGTGGCGGCTTAGTTCCTATCATGTCAAGGTTAGTGATTCACTCTGGCGAGACATGAGAGTGATTGATTCACTTCCTTTCACATTAGGCCTATGACTCCACTAAGACGAACATGAGAGTGTCGATCGAGTTCTTATTGTGTTAGCATAACGAGTCCGCTCAGTCAATACGTGGAATGAGTTGCAAGTTTGCAACTGTGGAAACATATGGCCTGGGCAATCGAATGAATAATGGAAGAATGTACTGTACATACGATGCATGATATGCTGTTCAGTGGCTCCATGCACGGAGGTGGTGTGGAGTGGAGTCAAATATGAAATGAGCGAATAGGTTGTGACCTCTGGTTTAATGAAAAGTGAAAGAAGAACCGAACCGAGTTAAGCCTAGACCACATGCACGCCACCCATGGGCCGCTCAGCTTGGGCCTCCTGTCTCCCCTTGTGGGCGTACATGGGCCGCGCAGCTTGGCGGAGGGGACCTCTTCATTTGGAAACTACCCTTGTGGAGATTATGGTGCCTCCATAATTGTAGGATCTCCGCAACAGATCACAAACCGCATCCTCTCTCTACTTTCTCATCTCTACTTTATCGTTTTCTCTCGCTGGCAATGGCTACGGCAGAATATAGAGGCCAGCCGAGTCCATCGTCTGGAATCGTCACCATGGATACGGCAGCAGATGGAGGCCTGCTCCGTACTCCAATCGGCAACCGGGTTCAAAATGAGTCAAAGGTTACAGGTAAGTGATGCATCCCTGCTCCAGTGATTAGATGTATGAATTTGTGTTTGTTCACTTGAATGTGCAACACATAGAGGGTATCCACATCAAGACCTTTTACCTGCAGCACAGAAATTCACATAATTAGCATAATACTATGAAAGCAAAGATAGGTCAGACAGAGCACAGTAGAATTGTAGACCTCAGCATTGCTCTCTGCATTCTTGAGAAGGTCTAGAATGAATCTAGCAGACTTGACAGGCCAGCGTCCCTGCCCATTTGAATGGCGAGACGTAGCCTGAGCAGTACGCCCAACACCACCACAATACCTGCGGAATGGGATGGCCTACTTGTGGGCAATCACATCCTGAAGGTACCTCTTGGCCTTGGTGAGTGACAACTTCCTGAGGGAAAAAGCTGTTTCACGGGTGTTCTGCAAGTATGACAGGAGCATTAACAAACACCAAAATATGCCCACATCGTATCCAAGAACAAATAACATCAGCAAGTGAACAATATTGGGTGCCATCATTATGGATGAAAACAGAAATTATCACAACCATTATCACCCCCTAGCTAAGAAATATGTGAAAAAACAAATGTGCCATCATTTACTGAACCAATTGACATGGAGTTGTCCAACACATGGACAGGACCAGCAGTTCACCCAATAACAATGATCAGGGTGTTCCTAAAGTTTACGGGGATACTGCTAGTAAATAGCACAGCATCCTGCTTTTTTCTTTAGGGTATTCAACTACAGAGACCAACACTACAACCAGGAATGTCACCCACAAACAGTAGAGCACTGTGCAGCTGCGCTTAATGATATTATCAACGAGAAAATTTCAACAAAGGAAGTCTAATTTTCCTTTAGCACACAAACACAACCATTTACTTCAACATCTGATGGTTCATTTGGCAGCATATATCCCACAGAAGTGGGAAAATGCATGCCATTCAACCAGAGCAGCTTGCACGGCAGCAACAAAGAATTCACCAAATAAACAAACAGGGCAAAATGGCATCATTTACTAATCTAATTGGAGCCAAGTTGCAACACCTGGTCCACCTAATAACAACAAAGCTGGCATTCTAAAGGTTTACCAGTATATATAAGCACATTCTTTTGGCACCTGATGCCTTAAGCTGCCGCAATCATAGAGATTCACTAAAAGAAGAAACACAAGTAGACATCACTTACTAATCTAATTGGAATCAAGTTGTGAAACCTAGTCCACCTAATAACAATGAAGCTGGCATTCTTACCAGGATATGTTAGCACATTCTTTTGCCACCTGGTGCCTTAATCAAATAAGCTGCTGATCAAAGTATCACACCCTAGCTAAGAAATATGTGAATAAACAAATGTGCCATCATTTACTGAACCAATTGACACGGAGATGTCCAACACATGGACATGACCAACGGTTCACCCAATAACGATGATCATGGTGTTCCTAAAGTTTACGGGGATACTACTAGTATATAGCACAGCATCCTGCTTTTATCTTTAGGGTATTCAACTACAGAGACCAACATTATAAACAAGAATGTCACCCACAAACGGTAAAGCACTGTGCCATATTGTGTGCCATCATAGACACATAAATTATCACAACCATTATCACACCCTAGCTAAGAAATATGTGAAAAAAACAAATGTGCCATCATTTACTGAACCAATTGACATGGAGCTGTCCAACACATGGACATGACCAGCGGTTCACCCAATAACGATGATCATGGTGTTCCTAAAGTTTCCGGGGATACTGCCAGTATATAGCACAGCATCCTGCTTTTTTCTTTAGGGTATTCAACTACAGAGACCAACATTACAAACAGGAATGCCACCCACAAACAGTAGAGCACTGTGCAACTGCGCTTAATGGAGTTATCAATAAGAAAATTTCAATAAAGAAAGTCTAATTTTTCTTTACCACACAAACATAACCATTTACTTCAACATCAGACAAGTTAAAGAGTTTTACACATGTTATAAAAATAAAACTCAAAGCACTCACATTAGCCTCTCCAGATATTCCTTCCAAAAATCTTTCACCACCAAAGAACATTCGTTTTGCACCATCATCGTCTCTTTTGTTATCTTGACTACTAGAAGAGTTAAATCTTGCATCGGTGAACATGTCAGGATGAGGCAACAGATCAACTGACAATGATTGCCACTCCAGTTTTTGTGAATTTTAATAGATATACATGAGATCATAAATCCTTTCTGAGTTTGACAATCTTAGTTTGCAATAGATCAGGAAATAGTAAAAGCAGGTATTAATCTTCTGGAAGCAAGTAAGGGGCATCAAACCTTAAAAACATAAATGAACCCTTTGTTGTTGGAGAAATCCCTTGCTTCTTTCAAGTTTACTACCTGTAAACATGGCACTAAAATCAGGCAATGGCAAATAAATCATTTAATAAATTAATTACAGTTCTTAAAATCACAATTGAGTACCTGCCATTTTTCATTTGTTGTGTACAATACAAGATCATGGAATGTGATTGCTGCTAGTGGTGGTGACCTGATAGTTAGAAGGATTAGCATTCCTTTTTCCAGGCACAAACATTGCAGCGAACTCTACTTGGTGGAATAAATTTAAGACAAACAAACAAGAACCAAGATATGCAAAGGAATATAGTAAAAGGGCACCAAAATGCTGAAATATAGGTAAATACCATGTTGCATCTCCTTGACGGCGAGCCCCTCCATGTGTTTCCAGTTGCAGGTTAACAATCCCTACTTGCATTGTCATTCCATCTGCCTTGCTGCGATCACTGTGGTAGAAATGCTATTCCTCGCCTGCAGTTGCATTGCTGCTATCCCTGAAAATAAAAACAGACTCAGTGAAACTCTATAATTAGTGAAAACCTATTTTTGCACATAACCAGATTATAACTGCAGCATTCATTATTAACATTTCTTATTGACATCATTTGATGCAGTTGACAGTGGTACCAGGGTTCATACTAAAAAAGTGCAGGGAGGGACCAAGAAGCAGGTAATTTCCATATCCAATATCCAGTTCCTATTTTTGTGCAAGTTGCCTTTGCATTGTTAGCAACTTATCATCGACCAACTGGTTGCCGCAGAAATATATGCATTTAATAAACTCAACTGTGAGTTTTGTAAACGCTATAAAAGCCTTATCGAGCGACCACAAGGATGCTATTAAGTCTATGGGATTTGGGGGGTTGCTTCGTATGCCAGGGACGTGTCTCATAAGACAAATGATTGACAAAATTGCAAACAGATACCAAATCAGCAACCAATGCTTCTTTATATGTGGTCAGGATGGTCCTATTTATCTAGAGGATGTCAGGGACATAATGGGACTCCAGATTGAAGGCATAGATGTTTTTAAACATGTAAACCAAGAGGAGGTCAAAGATGAAGACAAAAAAGTGGACATTGAATTGATGAAGAGGTATGAAGATGCAGACCACCTTCTCACGATAAGCAAGTTGAAACAAATGATGATGAAATCAGGCACTCCGGATGATGACTTCAAAAGACTATTTGTCTTGTTCACAATTGGTGTCATTCTAGCACCAACTGTGAAGCCCTATATTAAAGCTAGTTATCTACCCGTGGTTAGAAAAATATCAGACATTCCGAAATTCAATTGGGGCCAATTCACTCTGACCCATTTATTAACCTCATGTAATAATTACATAGTTAAGAAACGAGCCAACATACAGGGCAATTTGACTTTGCTGCAGGTCAGTTCTATAAGCTACAGCCACCTATAAACAATGTTTACTTTTGATCTTATGTATTTTTTGCATTGTGTTCATAGTTTTGGTACTGGGAGCGCGTCATTGCGTACACCAAGTACGGGATCAATTACGAGACAATCCAACCACCACTGATGGCGAGGTGGACTGAAGACAATGCTGGTCTTCGATGGCATGCTTTTGATCAGGCCGGCCTAGATGGAGGAACTGTAAGTTTCGAAACATACCATCAATATGCTGCTGTTCATACGCATACATCCTAACTATCTTAATAATTGTTTCCAGCTTATGACGCGCACTACTGGTCAGACCACCCTGTAGCAGACCACCAAGCCAAAAAATATAAAAACAGAAACATCAATGTCAGAACAAGCGCCAATACACGAGGAGCGTCTAAGCAATGAACAAGTATGTATGACATCTATTTATGTGCACAACCTCGTTTGTGTGCCTAATTCATTCTTTCCTATTTATGTAGAAGTAATTCCTTGAAGAATGGGTGAATGACAGCCAAACGGACATTGCACTAGCAATGGAAAAAATTATGGATATATACCACAAATATGATAGAAAAATATTATCACAAAACGAGGAGTTAGCTAAGATTAGAAAGGAGAAAAGGCTGGACAATAGATTGGAAGCTAGGGTGAGCAAGATAGAAGACGATACTACAGAAATAAAATGGATATCAAGGTAACCAACGTGAGTACTCATTTTCGGTTCCCATTCGTGCTTCATTGTCTAACACAATTTCTCAAAACAAAAAAATAGAAAACGCAACAGGTACAACAACAAATCCTACAGCTACCGCAAAGTATTGTTGACCCATCTACGCCAACATCTGCACAAGGTCAGCCGTCTATGGCTACATCTTCGCAAGTTCGGTTATCTATGCCTAATCTGCACAAGTTCGGGTATGCAAATATGGCTTCAGTTGCTTTGTCTAATGTTGGATTTGATATTTTGGAATTTAACAAAAAATACCAACTACAGGAATCGCCACAGATACTAGTCAAGAAGTCAGCACCAGGTGGCCCACTGCATTTCTCCCATGCACTGGCGAGAATCAATGCTGAAGCACACACTAAAACAAAAGTTAAGATGGAAAAGAACACGCAGCAGCAGAACAGCCCCTCTACACAGCACCAAGGCGACGCCTCTACACACATCACATCAAGGAAGCCAATTGTCGACAATGATTACAAAGTGAGTCCAATAGACACAGAAGCCAGATGCTTCATAGTAATGAGTTACGACCATGCTAAGGTTGTACAAATAGGTGACCATGCTAAGGTTGTACAAATAGGTGACCATGTTCTTACAACCAAACAACTACGCCCTAATTTCACAGATGGCTTTATAGTAGATGAGGTAAACTGATTTCATATCCTTTTTGTCCACAATAACATGCAAACACCTACTATGTACTAATAACTCCACCCTTTGCAGGTCATAAATGCCTATGTTGATTTCAGCAATGTGGAGACTGAAGAGGCATCATTCATAACAACTTTCCAAGCCTGGAAGTTGCCTACAAATAATCTGGGTGACCAACGCCTGATATTTAAGAAGTTAATTGCCGACAAATGTGTTCAAAGGCATTTGGTATGTAATACTGATTTTGTTTGGACACTTTTACTTGACATTTGCATTCATGATAATATCCGTATTTATTTTCCAAAGTTTTGTCAATTAGGACAGTTCACTGTATTTCTGGTAGTCTCTATTGCATTTATTGTTTTCAGGTTTTTGTGCCTATGCATATAAACAAAAACCACTGGGCTCTCCTAGTGCTAAATTTTATAAAGAAAGAGGTCCAGCTACTTAACTTCTTAGCCTCAACTCGAGGTGAAAACCAAGAGAAGGCATTGGTAAGTACAACGTAACACGTACCACCTATTCAATTACAATTACAGTTCGATCAAATTTAACATCTATCTCACCATCCAGTAGGTGGAAAGCATACAAGAATGCATTGATTCTTCGGGCAACGATGGCTTGGTTAACTTGCGCATCTGGAAACGAATTCCTTATCATAACATACCGCAACAAACAGACGGGTACTCCTTTTCCCTTTTGTATATTAATGTTCTACTTCAATTACTAATTCTTATGTTCGTTGCGGTCATTCATGTGGGGCGTTCTTAATATTTTATATGCTGGCATGGGATGGAGAAAAAATGGCCAATCATTTCACAAACGTGAGTCTTACAATCCTTGTTAATTCCAAATATCTACAGACTCATTCAATAATTGTTATATGACAGTGCACTATTTTCACTTGTATAGACACAAATGTAAGGATTTAAACGGACAATATGCAGGAGGTTGCTCCTTTCTAATCGCAACATGAGACGACAGCAATCATACCAAAATCCTATCACAGTCTGAACTTTTAATTCATATTAAAAATGATCCAGATGCATCAACTTATACCAGACTGTACAAAATATGCTGGGTCTAACATTTTTCTTGATGATTCTTAGGAGGAAGAGTACTATGCAAACAATCCGGATGAACAACGCCAGCACGAACAGGCTGAAAATTCAAGCGATGTTCAAATAATAGAGACTAAAACTCCAAACCCTGAGGACAGCACGAAAGAAGGGAAAGGAACGAAAGGAACAGGATCTGAAAAAGGAACCTGAGCTCAAAATAGGAAAAGACGACGACCGCCAACGAAATTAGTTGTCAATACTCCTCCTACTGTCGCAGATGAATTTAGTAGCGAATCTATCGCTAAACGAGTTCAAAGGGCCAAGCATCCAGGGAAACAGCAGACTAGCCCTTTTAGGCCTTTTTAGAACTAATGTGATGTCTATTTAGTAAGTTATATTTGATCTTTAGTTTGTCCCGATGGCTAGAACGATGTGTGTTCAGACCTAAACGATGTGCTAAACTAAATTCATGTGTGTTCAGGCGCAAATCTATCGCTAAATGAATCTACCGCTAAACGAGTTCAAAGGGCCAAGTAGTGCTCCCTTTTGTACTGTTCATGTCATCTTGTCCAACATGAGGCTAAAACCTGAAAAAACTGAAAAGGGCAGGGACTGGTCGGAGGCAGAGCATGCTCACATGGTGACAACGGTAGCTGGACCCTGTAGATGTTGCTGTTGATGGAGTTGAGCACGAGGTCGCCAACATGGGTGATCTCGACGGCGTACGGCTCGATCCCCAGCTTGCTACCAATAGGGTATCATGACCATCCTGACGTCCAAATTGACAAATAATCAACGTTACAGAAGAAATCGAGGTTACAAGGTTGTCGCTAAACATGACAGAATGGCATAGCTAGCTAGCAACACGCTTGAGTCACATAATTGATATGGATTTGTGCGCAGTTATGCTACGAAATCGGCAAAATTAGTGGATCCCTTCCCGAATAGCTACAGAAATTCGCCACGGGAGATGCTTCAGAGCTAACTGATCAACAACAGAGTGACTGCGAGTCTGCGAGATACATCAATTTATGGCGAAGGGCAAGGTGTAGAGCAGAGGCAAAAATTAGCCGGCTTCAGGTCTGGTGGATTGGGCAGTGACGGCGAGGTGGCGCCACACTCGCCGGCCAGCCGCAGAGGCCGCACGGCCTAGGTAGCCAGGGCGTACTTCTTCCTCCTGCCCCATCCTCCTACTTCCTTCATGGCCGACGCCACCGGTGAGCGTGGGCGGACGAGGGCACCTTGCCGAGCCCGCTCTTCAGCTTCGCCAAGTCGGACCGCCGTGTCCGCGGACGAGTGCACCTCTCCGCCCGCACCCTTCGACAGTGGGGACGGCCGCCGCCGCCGCCAACGGGAGCACAGACGCCGCTGGGACCCGTCGGAGCACCACCGCGATTAGCTCCCCCGGCCCAGGGTGGACGCTGGCGCCGCCGGAGTAGGTGTAGCGCGGGCACGCCGAACACAGGCGGTAGCAGGCAGCACGCCGCACGCAGGCGGGGTCAGCTGGCGCCGCCGGAGCAGGTGTTCAGATTCAGACAGAGATGACATGGGAAATCTCATTTTTCTTCCTTGAATAACAGTACTAAATTGACTGATTTACCCTTATTCAAAAATAAAATAAAAAATAAAAAATAGATCTTGCTCCATATATTTTGGTACTGGCTAGACCTTATTTGGTACCATCCCCAACTATTTGGTACCTTCAGATACTTTCAGTTGGATATCTCCTATTTTTTCCACTGTCCGATCTCACCCAATGGATGGCCCATATTCTTGCCAACCATTGTAAAATTTCTTTTGAAAATAATAACTCTTTTATCTCAAGTAGGTACAGTAGAGAAAGAAAGGCAGGCATGTCGGTAGTTCATTACATACCATATAGGTGTTTGTCGAGACTTCCCTTAGGTAGATATTCGTAGCATAGACAGCTTTCGGTCATTTCTACGATTACATATCTTCCATCACGCGGAATCACATTCTTCTGCGGTTCATGGCAGAATCCAACCAGCTGTACTATATTTTCGTGCTTAAACGCCATAAGATTTGCAACCTCAGTATAAAATGTTTTGACAGGCGTGTTATCATTAAGCCGCTTCACAGCGAGCATGCCCCCATCCGGCAGAAGAACCTGTTTTAGTCTCCAAGGATCACTAGTAGAACGATTTTGTGTTGCGGAATTTCATGTTTTAATTTTGGGGTCCAAATCGAACCTTATAAACTGTTCCAAAAACAGAACAACCAACTTCTCGTTCAAGAGAGAAATCACTGGTAATTTCCTTCGTAAACGTTGCCGGCAGGATTGTTGGTAGTGTACTCGCAGGACTCAGCTCGCTCTGTTGGTTTGCCATCTCTGAACTGGCAATATGGATAGGACCTAAGCACGACCTGCCCCTTCAACTCCATATATTCTTTTGACTCCAAACCACTTCGCAGCAGAAAAACAACTGCCGCCGCCGCCGCTCTTCCTGTAGGAATGCCTCGGTCCTCCTCTCTCCCATCCGGCGACCTCACCGGGGGCCAGAGCGGGGACCCGATCCATCCGTTGTTTTTAGTTTTTGTTGATCCTTGTTCTTCTAGGGTTTAGCTTCTGGCATTATCAATGAGGTGGTGGAGACGATGACGCACTAGAATAAGGTCTTTTTGGCCTCTCCCTACCTCGTCGACGTCGTTGACGAAGGGCCTGAGAGTTTGGTCTGTCGGTTGGTTCTCTTCTGATCTTGGTGGCAGTTGGTGCAGTCAGATGGCTTTCTTTACAGCAATTTCGACCTCTTCTTTTGGTTTGTTCTATTGCAAGGTCTGGCATCCCAATACTCTGTCCTGATGATGAAGAATTGTAAGCCTATGTTCCATGGCGGTTCCTCCAGCCAATTCAGTGGGTACTAGATCCCGTTGTCAGCAGTGAGTGGATTTTGCGGTTTTCAAAGCGTGTTTACATGTGTCTGTTTCCTCTGCTGTCTTTTCAGTGCGTTCTTCAACCTTCGACAAACAATGAACGATCAAAGGAAGAAGATAGCCGTTTTGATCTTTAATATACTCTTATTTTTTAGAGGTCATTTTGTGTCAAGTTGTCTTTTTATACAAGCTATTGTTTTCTTGATATATATATATATCAGATATCAGACACTCTCTTGAGTGTATTTCTCAAAAAAAAAATGGATAGGACCTGCTACAAATCTAGTCTTCTAAAACACCCAAAGAAGAAAGAAAATTTTCTCAACCGCACATACGTATAGCAAGATCGAATTGAACTGACTGTACATAAATAGCATAAATTACAGGCGCAACACTTGAAGCCGATCGAAGGGGGCTGAGGTTCTGAGAGGGATGCCTCCATTATTGCCGCAAAGAATATAAAGAACCAACCGCATAAACAAAGACAAGCTGCGCTGACTTGACCCAAGCCGAAGATGCCCAATATGACAATCTGAGAGTTTATTGCCACAAGCTTTGGTGACGCATGGCATGTAGAACGTGCCATGAACCTTCTATTGCAATGTACACATAAAAACACTGACGTGTACTGGCTCAGACATTTCCACTTGCTATGTAGTAAAAACTAGACCAACCTACGACGAACTAGGTGGCATTTTATATTATATTATTAGACGAGGACTTGAACCTCAGTGGTATGGCATACATTCACACCCTCAACCAACTGAGCTCAGCTTTCTCACTTGCTATGTAATCGAAATGAAGACTGTCATAAGTGTATTGTCAAGCCAGTTTCGACATGATCCCTCTGTTTGTTAGACAGAACATTCCTTCTATACATCCTAGTTGCCAGAAAACTTAGTTTCAGTAGATGGCCATTTGGGATAGGTGGTTTTTTTACAAGTTTTATCAGAACTCTGGGAATCTTTTAAAAAATATAAAATGTATCTGCTTATTTACATAGGTCGACAACACATCCAGATCATCTGTTCTATTACAAACAGCAAGCACAGAAACACAAGCAGCATTTTGAGTACTCCAATAATACATGACAGGAAAAGGAGGTAGATCTTTCTGTATTCGTGGGCATCATGGTTATATTGCTGGACGGGAAGGAGATGTAGGGGTGAAGGGAAATGAACATGTCTCACCATTTCTTCCAATTGATGCCTGAGCCGATAGATTGACTTCCCTCGTCGTCAAAGCAGGTTTGCTTGGCTGCACTTCAAAGTGGTTCTTCAAATCCCTCTTCTGTTCGTCATTAAGGGAGCCAATAACCTGAACTTCCTTCAGTTTCTTAAGATGATTTAGCGATACAAACTGCGGCAGCGATCCAGTACTACAGCAGCCAGCCTTCAGCCTCGAGATTTTCCATTGCTTCTTTTCCAATGCTTAAATGTAACATGGATCTGCTAGAAATCTCCAGGACCTGTATCTTTTTATAACAGCGGTCCTCCGCCCCATCGGTCATGACACAGAAGTTGAGCATACCTAGAGGAACTGCTTCCACTTGAGGGAACGAGTCGCCTCTGTAGTTTGTTCCCTGCAGTGGGGTCACTGCCCTTTCAGCTTGAGGCTCACTAGCTGGTGACTCAATTGCAGGTGCATCTTGAGGTGTGTTCACACGAAGGCGTAGAATACATAGTTCCTGTAGATTCCCAAGGACTCCTATGTCATCTTCAGTTAACACGTCCACCTCTAAATTTAACTTTCTGAGATTACAAAGGTGTCTGATCCACATAAGCAATTTTTGTAAAGGTCCATACAGCTTAAGGCTTTGAAGTGTCTTTGGTGGCCTTGAAGTTTCTTCAGTGATATCAGTGGGCACGCAATCCTAACAACCTTGATTACCCTTGTCAAGCCACACAGACAAGGATTGTAAATGAGAGTGATCTGAGACAGTAGAACATAACTCCTTACTGTTATTCTTGCTCACTCCAGCCACTCCAAGCTTGCGTAATTGAGTAAGATTCTTGAGCTCTTCTAGGATGACTTTCCCTTTGGCAGCACTGATATTGACAACTCCAGGTGTGTGCAACAGAGTCAGTTTTCCCACCCCTGATGCCATCTGAACACCAACCAGTTGAAAAAATTTGTGATTCTCTAGTGGGGTGGTAGTGCCTGCACGGATATATTGAAGCTTCTTTAGCTTGGTGATGGATGCTGGCAATGCGACTATGGAGGTGTATCAGACATCAAGTATTTGGAGCTGCCTTAGCTTACTCACTGAACCGGGCAGATTCCTGATCATACTGCATCCTCTGAGAGAAAGGAACTTGAGGCGACGCAGAAGCTTAAGCATCTTATGGAGGTCTTTATCGGTGACACCTGATGCATTCTCCAGATCAAGCACCCGAAGCACTTTCATACTTTCAGAAATGAAGAATAGTGACCAGTCACCAAACACTGTGTGGGAACGTAGACGAGACAAGTCGATGCTCTCAAACACAATCCTGTCTCGCTCCCAGCTTTCCTCTATGACAAGGTGCCGTCCTGTACGCCCAGTGGTCTGGCGGCAACATCCCTTCAGTGCAAAGACCTCAAGTGCAAAGGTAACATTCTCTTCTTTTGGTCTTGAGATGATATACTCATGGAAAAAAGCACTGATTTGGCACCAAACTAGTCTCATGTTTGTGACAATTGCCCGCTCTGGTGGTTGGATCATGCTCAGCTCAGTGATCTTTGCGAAGAGCTCCTCTCCATTCTCATCTGCGCTATCACTATCCTTGTCCTTCGAGTAACACTCTGCAACCCACCTCATCACCAAACGTCGCCGCCGAATGATCTCTGACTTGGGGAAGATTGACAGATAAAAGATACAAGGCTTCAAGAAATCTGGGCAAGAACGAAAGTATGAATGTATCCAGCGAAACATATCCTGTAAACTCGCAAACTCATGCCTTGTCTCCATGTTATTTATAAATTGGTCATTCAAAATTTTGGCTCTTTCTATCCAGTTGAATATATGGACCAAATAGTCAGCAATAGAAACTATTATTTTTGGAAGTCCACCACATTTTGAAATAAGTTCCTGGAGCACCAAGTCATTTTCAATACCATCTGAAAGCGAATATGGACTCCCTGCTACCTACGGGTCAAAAATAGCAATAACATTAGAGTCAGACGTTACTTCAAAATGAAAAATATGAAGTGTTCAACAATGGAATACTAGTGTTACATGTATAAAAGGGGACATGATACACATCAACATAATATTTGCAAATTACTTATACCCTTGTTCTGTGGATGTAGCAGTGCTAGCAAGACATTAATAGGAGTGGACATGCCACAACCGTGAGGCCAGATAGATTTTTGTTTGCCATGAATGTGGTAAGCTGCCATGGGGGCCAGCCCTAGAGGAGGGAATAATGTAATACTGGCCCATTAGTGTTTCACTTTCTGCCAATGTGGCATATGTGTTGTAGCATGGTGAAATTAGTCCCATCTTGTTAGTTTAGATAGGTTGGGGCAGCTTATAACATATTGTACCAAAAATAGCACCTCCTGGTTCACCCTTTTAATGAAGAGAGGACAAAGGTGCATACAAGATACTTTATGTTAGTACAGCAAACGGCAAAATATTTACATCAACAAAAGCTCCCTCTTATCCTTCTTAAATTGGACATTCACAAGGCTTTTCATTTTGTTTCTGGGTTGTTCCTCTTAAAGGTAATGCAACATCAGGGTTTTAGGCCTATATAGCTGATCTGTGCTCTTCTATGAACATCTTCTACCAGAGTTTTACTTATTAGGCTGCCAGGAGAGGATTTATTTAGCACCAAAGCGGACTCCAGAAAGGAGACCCACTTTCCCCAGTGCTGTTTACTATTGTCACGGATCTCCTGAATGCTATTATTGAAAGGGCCAGTGAAGATGTCCTCCAGCAGGCCCAACTCATTGCCAACTCTGGCATAGGGTATCCTTTTATGCATATGATGTAATCATGTTCTTGAGGCCCTATGGTCTGGCCTTTATCGGTTGGATTATGGCAATGGCGGCCCGTGCATGTTGTTTTCTACTTGAAGGAGTTGCTTTGTTGCCATGAGGAGAGATTCTTGGTGTTGTGTATTGGGTGATGTCATGAGGCTAAATACAGCCGCCCCGAGACAAGCCAAGCTAGCAAAGCGAGGCCCCAACTCTGGGCCCTGGCCAGCCATGGCCTCACCCTAGGCACGGGCAGGAACACACATGGCCAAAGGGGGGGTGGCCTCTCCACAGCCCAGCCATGGCCTCACCCTGGGCGCGGGTAGGGGCACATGCGGCCATGGGGGGTGGCCACCACAGCCCCACCGGGCTCCTCCCACACGGAAGAGTCAGGTATAGATGGAAATTAGAAATAGATTTGGATAAGATTAAGAATAAATAGAAATAGAGTTTGTTTAGGAAATAAGAATGGTTTGTTAGGAAATGAGAGTCCAAATCTATAAGGACTCCTCCCTGGGGACTATAAATATAGGGGTTATGTAATAGTTTGGATCTTAAGCAAAACTGAGCAGTTGCTCTCCCTCTATCTCTATCTCCCTCTCCTGCGCTTGCCCCCTCCCTCTCCTTGCACCAACCCCCCTCCCTGCCCTAGCCACCTCCTTCCTCCCCCTGCTCCTACACCATCAGCCATACCCCCCCAGCGAGGTCTATCACACCAGGTATCCAGAGGCCAGGCATCCATGGGCAAAAATGACACCATGTCGACGGAGATGAAGGCGTGGCTCAAGACCCTCGCTGCCGACCTCACCAAGTGCATGGACAAGGTGCAGGAGCACCTCATCAATGCTGATGTTCGTCTTAGCAACATGGAGCAAGGAGGCTCCAAGGAGGATGTAGACGCCGCAGCTGCAGCATAAGCGAAGCTAGAACACGAGGCCACCACCAAGTAGCTCAAGGTGGAGACCAAGCGAGCCATGGAGATCGCCGGGTGCACCTTCCTCAAGATAGGATCCACGTCATCGAGCATCGCTGAGATTGTGGACCAGATGACAACAATCTATTCGTCATCCCGACTAAGTTGGATGTGCCACCTAAGGCGCATATGCCTCTGCCCTACCCACACAAGACATCAGCACCGAGATCCTTTCTAGTCCTCCAACCATGCGTCGTTCCCCACGTGTGATGGCAAGGAGGATCCGTTGTTGTGGCTTAACCGCTGCGAGCAGTTCTCCAGAGGCCAGAAGAACCTTGCCAATGAGAAAGTCTGGTATGCTTTTTTTCATATGACGGGTGGAGCGCAACAGTGGTACATGCGCCTGACGCAGGGCAAGGGGTTAACCGATTGGGCGTAGCACTTCGCTCCCCCCTTGCGTCTCGACGTAACCCGCTGGGCGAGCTGGCGCACCTACAGAAGACCGGCACCATCGATGACTACACTGAGCGCTTCTTAGCTCACATGGAACAAGCCAGGACCCTCGACAAGCTATAGTATGTCAACATCTACACAGGTGACCTGTTGGACCTCCTAAAGACGGACATGGAGATCTAGAACACAAAGCACATGGAGATGGCCATGACCTTGCCGTGAGCATACAAGCAACGTGCAGCTGTCATCGCCGACTCCAACAAATCTACAACACTAGTACGCTCTACAACTCATCCTCCTCTACCTCAAAAGGCACCGTCCTCGACACCCGCTATAGAAACTACACCGACAATGTCACTGACAACATCATCGGTGGCCCCGCCTCTCGCTTTCAAGTGCATCACCACCGAGGAGATCACAGAGCGTCGCCGCATGGGATTGTGCTTCAACTGCGATAGGCAATTCACTCACGGCCACAAGTGCAAGCACCTCTTCAATATCACGGTCATCAATGACTTCAACAGCGACGACATCGACCCCGGCCTCCAATGTGCACAAGTGGTGCACCATGTTCCTGGCAGGTGTCGTACTCACGCACAATGTGCATATACTCGTCGATACTGGCGCCACACACAACATCCTCGATATCAACTTCTCCTGGTTGGCAGGACTGATGGAGCAATGCATCAACACCATGATCCTCATGCACAGCGACAATGAGATTGCCTACTAGGGAGCCTGCTTCAACGTGCCTCTACGGATCGACTCTGAGACATTCCAGATCGACGCCCTCCTGTGGGACCTCGGCATCAACGTCGACATCATCCTCGGCACGCCATGGATGGCTGATCTCGACAACATCCTCTAGAACTTTGCATCATGAGAGAATGCACCATCACCTTCGTCTGCGTCCCCGATCGTCGAACACCACAAAGTGTGCTCTCCTTGAAAGCCCTAGTTTGATTTTGGATAATTGATGAAACCCTAGGTACTAACCTTTGGCTATAAGTGAATATGAAATAGGTTAGTACACACCAAGTGATGGAACAAAGATGAAGTCCATGGTGATGTTGTGGACATGTGATGATGGTGATCAAGCTCCAAACTTGGAAAAGAAGAAAGAGAAAAACAAAATGGCTCAAGCCAAAGGTATATTTGATAGGAGCAATTTGTTTTGCCACTCAAGACACCAAGTGTGTGTGAGTGGGTTTAGGATAGATAGCCATACTATCAAGGTGGAAGAATCTTGGTTAAAATGGTTATCAAGTGCCACTAGGTGAAGTGATTCATGCATTTGCATTAGGACCTAGTGTGCTAACAATTAACCCTTGAAAAATGCTTGAAAAAATGCTAACACACGTGCATAAAGGTGAGACACTAAGTTGGAGAAGAAGAGGAGTTTTTAGGGACCGGACCCTGACTTTGTCAGGACCGTACCCTGGGGTCAAAGTCCGGTCCAGACTCTGCATTGTTCGTGGGCTTGTGGTTGTTGGTCGTGTGCCCGTGAAGGACACGTGGCGTCATGTGGTGCTTCGGACCCTGGTCGCGGGTCCGAACAGCGGAAGCAGACCAAGTCCGGAGGGTGCTGGACCTCTCGGTGTGGATTTGGACCCTGACTGGACCCTTGTTTTGGCAAGTCCTATCGGTCTGTTTGGACTGAGTCCAGTCAGGTTTTGGGGCTCGAGAACTTCTCTAGTGCTGACTGGACCCTGACGGCATAGCGACCGGACCTGGCGTTGCAACTCCAGTCTAGAGGTTTCAAACATGGGCGCGGCGTGCTTGGACGCTGAAGGAATGACTGGACCCTGCTCAGGGCAGAGTTGACCATTGAAGATCCAATGCTCACGGTTGAATACGCTGACACGTGGTGAGATCTGGGGGTCGAGACCCTAACTGTTCATGGTCTGGAGCATGGGTTCGGACCCCCCCCCTGAGGGCATAATGGCTATAACTTTGTTGGGGCTCTATACATAGAGCTTGGTCAGTTTTGGCTCGCTCTCTTGGTGATTCTTACATGTGATAGCATCCTTTGAGCTGAGCCAAACCTCTCCCACTCATTCTCTTGCTTGGTTGTGCATCCTAAGTGAGTTGGGAGTGATCCAAAGTGCATTTGCTCGAGTGATTGCATCTAGTGGCACTTGGGGATCGATTTGCTGTGTTTTTCTTGTTACTCTTGGCGTTTACCGATGCCTAGACGGCTTGGAGCAGCGAGGATCATTGAGCGGATGGTGGTGATTGTCTCTAGCTCCGATCATGGTGATTGTGAGGGGTTCTTGTGCCTTCCTCGTGGGAGATCACGAAAGGCAACTCTAGTGGATTGCTCGTGGCTTGTGGATCCCCATCTTGTGTTGGTTTGTGACACCCGGTTATGGGTTAGGCATGTGATGCCTATTAGCGCGTGAACCTCCAAGTGGGTGAATCACCACAACGGGGACTAGCTTGCCGGCAAGTAAGTGAACCTAGGTGAAAAATCATTGTGTCATCTTGTCTCCGAGGAATTCATTGGTATTCTTTGTGATTGATCTCTTGTCGGCTTGGTACATCCATCCCTAGCACTTGTATTTACTTTTCTATACTTGTATAGTTCTAGTTGTAGCTAGTGAGTAGTGTATCTTAATTAGTTGTAATTACTTTTGCTAGGTTCCTCACTAGTGGTAGAATTAGTGACATAGTCATTGAGTGTAACTAGAGATCATAGCATACTAGACTTCTGGATAGGTGGCTTGCAACACTTGTAGTGCTAGTGCAAAACTCGCATTACACCATTTAGTGATCTAACCATTTGTCTTAGTGTTGTTGTAGAAATTTTTATAGGCTATTCACCCCCTCTAGCCATTTAGGACCTTTCATCCCTCCCCGCTCGGTGCCAATCATGGCCATGCCCCCTACACCAGGCGCACCCATCGTGGCCACTGTTACCACCATAACAACCGAGCTGCAACTAGAGCCGTGCGGCATCATCTTCGGCCACATCCTTCAAGCGGTTCAGGAACTGCCCGAGCTATGCACCATCACCACTGCCATCATAGGTGAAATAGCTACACTGGCTTGGTCCCTTGATAAGGTATTCTCTTCTTCAATGGGCGCTTCTACACTCCACCGAAATTCCCAAGGTTAGTGACATACTATAGTTATTCTATGTGGACTCTAAGATGTTTGGAGATAACCTGCAATGGGTTAGCTTGAGTTTTGTGCGCGCTTTGTTTGGAGGCAATGCTTGCTCTAGCCATTAAGGACTGAGCTGGTTTAATCATATTTTATAGGACTATGTCAAACGTGCATGCCACATTCCCTCTCTCCAGTCACCGCCGTCGCCCCTCTCCTCCTCTCCGTCTCTCCAGCCACCGCCACCCCTCTCCTCCCTCTCTCATGCACATCGCCGCCCGAGCACAAATGGCCCTAGCCAGCCACCACGCCAACCCCCCGGGATCGGACCCTGACACCTGGTATCTCGAAGACCAGATCAATCACCTGGGTGACACCACCATGACACCGGATATCAGATGGGATCCACAAGCAACACCGACTTCAACAAGGAATTACGCCAGCTACTTGACAACTTCATCACCCACATCGGCAAATGCTTTGATGGGGTCCAACAATTCCTCAGCTCAGTGGACAACTGCCTCACCACTATCGAGAAGGCATGCTCAAAGGATGGCGGCACCACAAAAGCAGCAATAGCAATGGTGGAATGCACAGCAGCCATCAAAATGCCGGAGGAGACCAAGAACGCCACAACATCGGTAGGCCATGTCCTCCTCGACTCAAAGATGACGGATCCCCAATCATCAAGTACGTCGGAGATGGTATAGGAAGTCACCAACAACCTGTTCACCAACACAACGCTCTAGACGACAACAACATCCTCTTCACAACCAGAGCATCCAGCACAGCCAACACCGATAACGCCTACACCATGTCAACAACCATTCAT